TTAACCAAAACCCACTGCTTTCCCTTGTTTTTTGCAAGGGCCTTTGGAGGCAAATGAGAACCATTGTCAAGATTGGGTTCAATGGGGACCTAATGCAGCCTGTGTAGTTCCACAGCCGTGTTTGTTTTCACCACCTGCAATGCATGACTGCCCTCCATCCTGCTATGAAGGCAAATGCTCACCAGGCCTCTCAGACCCTGTGTAAACCATGTGGTTCTCTTTTCTTGTTACTGTGTTTCTAAGCTGAACACACAGCAACAACAACTAGGCTAAGGGAGAAAAGGCAGAAACTCTAGATGGCCTGGCACTATTTATTCTGGGACATGTTAGCTGATCAGCATTATGATGCCTGAATAAATAAAGTTGGGGTGATTTCACCCTAAACTTGCTTGCAGGCTCCTCTCTTCCAAGTTTCCCACCAGAACTGGCCATAGCATGAGGCTGTGCCAGGATCTAAATGCACAGAAAGGAGCTCCAGCCCACTCTCCCTGCTCAAGATGGGCCATGGATGATCGATTCTGAGGGACTTGGTAGAAAAGGCTTGTGAAGCATGGAAATGACTAGAGTGAGCCACTCCAATGCCAGAAGGCAATACGAAGGCCTGTAAACAGGTGAGGTTTATTTGAAAACCCAAGTAAAGCAAGGAATTAATAATGAAAAAAAATTAAAATGAGCAGATATCCTGACACAGTTCTGTTTTTGGTACACCTTGAGAATTGGTCTGGGTGTTGACAGAACTTCTTTTAGGTTAATTAAAGTGTCCTTTGCAGGCAGTCAACTGCACACATCATAAGCTTACAAGTTGATTTTCTCCTGTGCCTATAGTAAGGCTGCAATGGTGATGAAAATCCCTGTGGAGAATGTGAACCCTAGTAAATCTGGGAATCTGTATGTATGGAAACCAACACACACAACCCAAGACACAGTGATCATGGCACTGCATGAATTCACAAAAGACCTGGGCCAGCCCTGTGCACAGGATTCCACCCCATCTTCAGAGAATGCAGTTGCTCCCAGGGACTTCAGAATGTGGCTGTTGTTTCTCATCTGCAAAAATCATTTCTCCCATCACTGCCTACGTTCTCATTCACAACAAGAAGCTCAACATAGAAAAAGCCAGAAAGACAGTGCGACATTCCTCATCTTCTGGATTACTTATCAGCATGACAGGAGTTCCCCAATACTTACCAGCTTGCTGCAGTCCTGCAGCTTCCTGTAATGACAGAAAATAAATTGCTATAAGCATCAGACCATGCTGTGTCCTGACTATACTGTAATTGGTGACAATGAAAATCAAAATGGAAAATAGTGTTCAATGAAACAAACCCAAAAGAAGAACAGAGCAAACTGACTCATGCTAAAGGCAAGGTTTTCTTGGACGATGTTTCCTTCCAACCATTTTGCTTGGCCACTAAGTGATCTTAGTCCAAAAAGGAAAGCATCCCTGCTAAGGCAAAAACCTTGTGACCACACAGTGCGTGGTTCTGTCATTTTCTCCCACTGTCTTAAATCGAGTCTCAGTAAAGAAGATACTCTCGCCCAAAGCTCCCCCAACCAAGGAAATTCTGTAAGTTATCTACGATTGATATGGTAAAATTCTCATATCTTATATAAGACTCTCTGATCCTAATCCAAGAAGATAAAGTCAAGAAAGTAACTGTTTCATTCAGACACATTCTGTGGGCTGACATTGACATCCCATTGTACCTCGTCCTCTGCAGCGTCCAAGGAAGGGTCTTCCTGCTGAAGAGCAGACCCTAGAAGGATGTAAAATACCATTAGCAAATTGCTGTGTTGCTCATTAACAATTCAGGGCCATGCAATGATGTGGGTGAAGGAAGAGGGTGGCAGGAAAATGACAGGAGCAGAAAAGAAAAGCAATCAGGGCCTTTGGGTTTGTAGCTCCAGGCAATCACAATGTGAAATATTCCATCTCAAATATGGCACACCACCCAGGGCAAGCTATGTTTCCTGCAGCTTCTCAGGGCTCCACCTTTCTAATCTGACCTGAGCCATCTCGCCCTCCCTTCTTCATCCTTTGCAAAGTCATTTCCTCCCACAATTCACAGGTGGTACTGCTCTGGCCATGACCCCATCTACAAGATTTTGTACTTGATAAGGAACAACCTTGCTTCAGAGGCAATATTGCATTCTGGTAAACATAAGCTAATGTATGTATGTATGTATATATTTTCCATTTCTAACAATTTTTATTTTGAAGGATAAGTGGGCTATAGTATTTTTAACCCTTAGTAAAAAGTTAAACCAAAATACAAAAACATTCAGTGATCCTGTCATTTGAAGATAACACCTACTTAACATGTGGTATTTGTCTTTCCACTCTTTGCTTTCATCTCCTCATGTGTGTCTCATGGGGCCCATTGCTGATGATACTCACTCTGGCTCCAGGACTGGGACAGCCCTTCTTGAGTGGCACAAGGTGGGACACTGATCCTCTCTAACCCAGCTGTGCAGAAGAATCTAGCTACACAAGGACCACCTGTCAGGCGACTGTGAAAACTATTCTTTGTGCCACCATAGAGAGATCAAACCAGGCAGCTACTGTCAAGTGTCTGGCCTAGCTCTTAAGTTCATCCTTGCTGATCATATCCTCTCTGGCCTAAGTTGAACATTTCAGGAACTCACTCCTGTTCACTGTCTCTTACTAATTTCTGGTGGTGCCCCTGCCATCAACACACAGAAACATGGCGAAGACAAAAAACAAAGTAGCTCCTCTTAACAGGCTTTTAGGAAAATGGCCATAATTCAGGCCAGTCATGAAGTCGGGACTCAACTTGGCCTTCAGATGAGGTTTGAACACTCCAGCCATGCCCAGATGATGGTGCAGAGCTCAATCTCCTAATGTTGTACCTTGGTTTCCCACCCCCCACCTTCACTGCTTTGCTGCCATCACTCCTTTCTTCTATTCCTCTAAATCATGTTTCTTGGCAGGCACAGGCCAAGGACACAGCCTGCTCTGATAGAGCCCACTGGGCAGCTGTCTATGAATTCCTAGAGCCCCAATATTGCTAACTCTCATGTCAACCTTTAATGACTCACAGCAGAAAGCCCACTGAGTACCAAAAATCAACAAAAACAACAAAACAAAATAACAAAAGCAAAGGATATTCTAGAGATTAAAGAGGAATAGGGAAATTGGATTATGAGGAGATGGCTTCTGAGGTTAACGAGAAACACTTTACAATCACAAAAGCGTCAGTATTTAAAATCTGTGATAGCTACTGATGCCAAGGTTCAACCAAACGCATACTCCAAGAAAAAAACTCAAGCAATACTTGGCTCAGTTGATATTGATATTTAACCAACACCTACTAATTTCACTTGTTTTTTGCAAGGGCCTTCAGGGGCAATCAAGAACCTCTGTCAAAACTGGGTTCAACAGAGACCTCATGGAGCCTCTGAGGTTCCAAAGCCATGTTTCTTTTCCGAAACATGCAATGCATGACCACCCTCCAGCCTCCTAGGAAAGCAAGGGCTTATCTGGACTCTAAGATCCTGTGCAAACCAGGTGGTTCTTTTTCACGTTGCTGTGTTTTGAAGCTGGGCACACAGCAACAAGGACTAGGCAGAAGGAAAAAAGACGAGAACTCGAAACAACCCTGACGCTATCTATTCTGGGCCACATTAGCCAATGGGCAGTATAAGGCCTCAATGAAGAAAGTTGGGGTGATTTCACCCTAACCCTGCTTGCAGGCTCCTCTCTTCTCAGTTTCCCACCAGAACTGGCCATAATATGAGGCTATACCAGGATCTAAATGAACAGAAAGGAGCCCAGCACACTCTCCCTGCTCAAAATGGGCCGCGGCCAATCAATTCTGATGGCTTTGGTGAAAAAGGCTTGCAAAGAATGGAAAGGGCTAGAGTGAGCCACACCAGTGACAGGAGGAAATATGAAAGGCTGTAAATGGATGAGGTTTATTTGAAAACCAAGCAAGCAGGGAATTGTGAATGAAAAAAATAAAATAAGCAGAGATCCTCACACAATTCTGTTTTTTAGTATGCCTTGAGAATTGGCTTGGACATGGACGGAACATTTTCTCAGTTAATTAAAATGTCTTTTGCATGCAATCAACTGCACACATCGTAAGCTGCCAAGTTAACTTTTTCCTATAGTAAGAATGCAGTGCTGATAAAATCCCTGTGGAGAACATGAATACTAGAAAATCTGGGGATCTGTATGTATGGAAACCAAAACACACACCCCAAGACACAGTGACCATGCCACTGCATGAATTCACAGAACACCTGGGACGGTCCCATGCACAGGATCCCATCCCACCTTCAGAGAATGCAGTTGCACCCAGGGACTGCAGAATGTGATCATTGTTCCTTATCTGGTAAAATGATTTCTCCTACGGCTGCCTACATCCGATTTCACAACCGGAAGCTCAACTCAGGCTGCCCGTCTACAGGAAAGCCAGTGACACAGTGCCACATTCCCTATCTTCTGGATTACTCACCAGTATGACAGGGGTTCCCCAACACTTACCGGCTTGCTGCAGTCCCAGAGATTCCTGTAATGACAAAAAATAAATTATGAGCATCAGACCATGCTGTGTCCTTACATTCCCGCCCTCAAAGAAACCCAAAAGAAGAACAGAGCACAGCAACTCACACTAAAGACAAGGTTTCTGGGACAATGTTGCTTTCGAACCATGTTGCTTGGACATTAAGTGATCTTTGGCCCAAAAAGAAAACAGACCTGCTGAGGCAAAAGCTTGAGACCACACAGTGTGTGGTTGATGCTGTCACTTTCTCCCACTGTCTTAATCAAGTCTCAGTCAAGAAGGGACTCTTGCTCAAAACTCCCCCAATGAAGGGAATTCTGTAACTCATCTACAGTTTATATGGCAAAATTCTCATATCTTATATAAGATTCTCTGCTCCCAATTCAAGAAGATAAAGTCAAGAAAGCAACTCTTTCACTCAGACACATTCTGTGGCCTGATAATCACATCCCATTGTACCTTGTCCTCTGCAGCATTCATGGAAGTGTCTTCCTGCTGAAGAGCAGGCCCTAGAAGGATGCAAAGTGACCATCAGCAACTTGGTGGCATTGCTCATTGACAATTTAGGGACATGCTATGATTTGGGTGAGGGAGGAGGGTGGCAGGAAAATGACAGGAGCAGAAAAGAAAGAAAATCAGGGCCTTTAGGTTTGCAGCTCCAGGCCACCACAATGTAAAATATTCTATCTCAAACACGGCACACCACCCAGGGCAGGCTATGTTTCCCTGCAGCTTCTCAGGACTCCTCCTTTCTAAATCTGACTTGTGCCATCTTCCCTTCCCTTCTTCACCCCTTGAAAAATCATTTCCTCTCACAATTCACAAGTGGTCCTGCTCTGGCCATCACCACATCTACAAGACTTTATACTTGATAAGGAACAACCTTGCTTCAGAGACAATATTACATACTGGCCAACATATGTTATGGTATTTATTTATTTATTTACTTATTTATATTTCCTTTCTAACAATTTTTATTTTAGAAGATAATAGTGCTATTGTATTTATTAATCCTAAGTAAAAAGTTAAACCAAAATATGAAAATGCTCAATGATCCCATCATTTCAAGAATATCCCTAATCAGCATGTGGTATTTGTCTTTCCACTCTTTATTTTCATCGTGTCACGTGTGTTACACAGAGTCTGTTGCTGATCATACTCACACAGGCTCCAGGACTGGGACAGCCCTTCTTGAGTGGCACAAGGTGGGACGCTGATCCTCTCTAACCCAGCTGTGCAGAAGAATCTAGCTACACAAGGACCACTGGTCAGGTGACTGACAGAAGCTATTCTTTGTGCCACCACAGGGAGGTCAAGCCAGGCAACTACCCTCAAGTGTCTGACCTAACACTCAAGTTCGTCCCTACCGATCATGTGATCTCTGGGCCAACCTGAACATTTCATGAACACACTCCTGTTCACTATCTCACTAATTGTTGGTGGGGCCCCTGCCATCAATACACAGAAACATGGAGAAAACAAGAAACAAAGCTGCTCCTCTATCCATGCTTTTAGAATGATGGCCGATATTCAGGCCAGCCATGAAGTCGGAGCTCATCTCTGCCTTCAGATGAGGCTTGAACACTCTGGCCTTGCCCAGGTGGTGGTGTAGAACTCACTCTCCTGATGTTGCACCTTGGTTTCCCCTCCACCTTCATGGCTTTGCTGACCTCACTCCTTCCTTCCATTCCTCTAAATGACGTTTTCTGACAGGCTCAGGCAAAGGCCACAGACTGCTATCTCTCTCTCTCACTGAGAAACCTGGGCAGCTGTCTATCAATTCTTAGAGCCTCAATGTTGCTAACACTGATCTCAACCTTTAATCCCTCATAGCAGAAAGTCCACTGGGTGCCAAACAACATCATCATCAACAACAATAATAACAACAAAACGTAACAAAAGCAAAGAATATTCTAGGGATTAGAGAAATAGAAGAATTAAGTAACAAGGAGATGGCTTCTGAGGTTAGTGAGAAACATTTTAAAATCACAAATGCCTCGGTTTTTTAAAATGCAGGATAAATACTGACACCTACACAGCTATCAAATCCAATTTAAATATAACAAGTTTCCACCAAATGCATGTTACAAGAAAGAAACGCAAGCTATACTTTGGCTCAGCTGATATTCATTTTTAACGAAAACCCACTGCTTTCCCTTTCTGTTTGCAAGGGACTTCAGAGGAAAGCAAGAACATTTCTCAAGAATGGGTGCAATGGGGACCTCATGGGGCCTCTGTGGTTCCATAGCCATGTTTCTTTTTCTAAACCTGCAAAGCATGACCAGCCTCCATCCTGCTACGAAGGCAAATGCTCACCCTGACTCTCAGACCCTGTGAAAACCACGTGGCTGTCTTTTCTCTTTGCTGTGATCCTCAGCCGAGCACGCAGCAGCCAGGACTAGGCTGAGGGAGAAAAGGCTGGAACTCCAGATATCGCTGGCACTCTCTATTCATGGCCATATTAGCCAATGGGCATTATAAGGCCTCAATGAAGAAACTTGGGGTGATTTCACCCTAAACCTGCCTGAAGCCTACTCTCTTACCAGTTTCCCACCAGAACTGGCCATAGCATCAGGCTGTACCAGGGTATAAATGCACAGAAACAAGCCCCGGCCCATTCTGCCTGATCAAGATGGGCCATGGATGACCCATTCTGAGGGCTTTGGTGGAAAAGCCTTGTGAAGAACAGACATGGCTAGAATGAGCCACTCCGGTGACAGGAGGAAACAAGAAAGCCTGTAAATGGATGAGGTTTATTTGAAAACCAAGCACAGCAGGGAATTGTGAATGAAAAAAATAAAATAAGCAGAGATCCTCAAACAGTCCTGTTCTTTTGGCACGCCTTGAGAATTGGCCTGGGTATGGATGGAACATTTTCTGGGTTAAAACACCTTTTGCATGCAATCAACTGCACTCATCATAAGCTCCCAGGTCGACTTTTTCCTGTGCCTATAGTAAGAATGCAGTGCTGATAAAATCCCTGTGGTGAACGTGAATACTAGAAAACCTGAGGATCTGTATGTATGGAAACCAAAACACACAACCCAAGACACAGTGACCATGGCACTGCATGAATTCACAAAAGACCTGGGACGGTCCCATGCACAGGATCCCACCCCACTTTCAGAGAACCCAGTTGCACCCAGGGACTGCAGAATGTGACCGTTGTTCCTTATCTGGTAAAATCATTTCTCCTGCAGCTGCCTACGTCCGCTTTCACAACAGGAAGCTCAACTCAGGCTGCCTGTCTACAGGAAAGCCAGTGACACAGTGCCACATTCCTCATCTTCTGGATTACTCACCGGTATGACAGGGGTTCCCCAACACTTACTGGCTTGCTGTAGTCCCACAGCTTCCTGTAATGACAGAAAATAAACTGTTATGAGCATCAGAGTATGCTGTGCCCTGACTTTCCTGTACTCAAAGAAACCCAAAAGAACAGAGCACACTGACTCATGCTAAAGACAAGGTTTCCGGGACAATGTTTCTTTCCAACCATGTTGCTTGGACATTAAGTAATTTTTGTCCCAAAAACACAACAGACCTGCTAAGGCAAAAAGCTTGAGACCACACAGTGTGTGGTTGATGCTGTCATTTTCTCCCACTGTCTTAAATAAAGTCTTAGTCAAGAAGGGACTCTCGGGCAGACCTGGGGAAGATGGCTGAATATGAACAGCTCAGGATTGCAGCTCACAGTGAAAGCACAGAGGGTGAGTGGACGCTGCATTTCCAGATGGATTTTTACTGCCCACAAACCAGGAGATTCCCAGGTAGAGGAGCCCCACGGGTTGCCAGCGGCTGTTTTTCTGGTGCGGATGTTTTGGCCGCCACGGCTGCTTTGCAGGCAACCAGCGTGACGGTTCTCCGTACAAAAAACAGTGGTTTGGGTGCCCTCTTAGCTGGTGATTAGAGCTCCAGGAAGGCAGATGGCCCATTCATCTGATTTAAAAGGGGACTGAAATAGGGAGCCAGGCCAGGAGATTCCTGAGAAAAAAAAACCACCAGGAATCTCAGCACCACTGTTTCAACAGGCACAGTGAGTCGCCGCACAGGAAATCGCACAGATCCTGGTGCCTTTTCAACAGGCGACAGGAACACCTGGGAGTCAACCATTCAACTAAAAAAAAAAAAAAGACTCTTAGGCAGGGAGCCAGGTGATCAGGCTCTGCTGGTCCCACTCCACCCCACAAAAAAAAAAAAAAAAAAAAAAAAAACAGTAATTGAAAATGCTCTGGCTTGAGAGTTTCACAGAAAGTACAGGGGAACCTGGGAGGGTCCAGCTCAGTGGGGGAGGGGCGTCCGCCATGACTGAGGCACTCCACCACTATGGAGGCAGTCTGCCATTGCCAAGGCAACGTGCGACTACAGAGAGAGTCCGCTATTACAGAGGCAGGCCACCATTGCCGAGGTAGTTCCAACTACACCCATATAAACAGGACTGCAGGGAAGTCCACATGGCAGCTGGGCGGAGCCCACAGCAGCACAGCAAAGCCTCTGTAGGCAAACAGTGACTAGGCTGCCTCCTGGCTGGGCAGTACAGCCCCGAAAAAAAAAAAGGCAGCAGCACAACGGAAACTCAAAAACAAAGCCCTAACTCCCTGGGACAGAGCATTTGGGAAAAAATAAAAAAGGGAGTTTATGAGTTCTGCTGCAGAAGACTTAAACGTACCTGCCCAGCAGCTCTGAATGAACAACGGAGCTCACAGCTCAGCACTGGAGCTCCAATAAAGGACAGACTGTCTCCTCAAGCAGCTCCCTGACACCATATATCCAGAGTCTCTTCATAGAAGAGAGAACAGACTGACATTTGGTGGGTATCCGTCTGAGTTAAAGATCACAGAAGAAGGAACTGGTAACAACCCTTACTGTTCTGCAGCTGCTGCAGGTGATCCCCAGGAAAGCAGGGCCTGGAGCCGACCTCAGCAGTCCTTCAGCAGAGGGGCCAGGCTGTTAGAAGGAAAACTAAGAAACAGAAATAACTTCATCATCCGCAAACTTGAAGTTCACTCAGAGGCCCAATCTGAAAGTCAGCAACTACAAAGACAACAGGTGGATAAATCCACAAAGATGGGAAGAAACCAGCACAAAACGGATGAAAACACCCAAAACCAGAACACCTCTCCTCCTAAAAGGGATCACAACTCCTCACCAGCAAGGGAACAAAATTGGATGGAGAATGAGTGTGATGAAATGACAGAATCAGACTTCAGAAGGTGGGTAGTAAGAAACTTCTGTGAGCTAAAAGAACATGTTCTAACCCAATGCAAAGAAACTAAGAACCTTGAAAAAAGATTTGACGAAATGCTAATGAGAATGGACAACTTAGAAAGGAATATAAGTGAATTGATGGAGCTGAAAAACACAACACGAGAACTTCACGAAGCATGCGCAAGTGTCAACAGCCAAACTGACCAAGCAGAAGAAAGGATATCAGAGGTTGAAGATCAACTCAATGAAATAAAACGAGAGGGCAAGAATAGATAAAGAAGAGTAAAAATGAATGAACAAA